GAAACCGATGGCGAAGCCCGTCGAAGCGGTGGCCGCCGGGCCGCCGCCCACGCACACATACAGCGCACCCGACCTGAAGACGGACGCGGTTCGCGTGGTCCACAAAATGGGTAGCTAGGACCCGTGGGGGCAAGGTTTGGAAACCTTTCACATGATTGAACATGATTGAACCTGTTTTTCAAGAGGGGGATAGGGTTATCTTTGGATAGCTTAGAGCCACTCAATCATCACAGGGGGTTGTTGTTCCGGAGTATTCTATCCACCATTCCTTACATTGGTGGTGGGTGGTACGAGGATGGACATTTTCGCACTCCACAATGAGTTTGATTTGGCTTGGGGAAAGGTGCCAAATCCAGAAGCAGTTGTTTGTTGATAGTGTCAGAAGCGCATCGCATATATATATATATAGAGAGAACAGTCAGGCCAAGCATTTCCAAGTTCGAAGAAGAACTTGGCAACATTGGATGCGAGCAAAACACACTGCCTGTTTAGCCAAGCGTCACGACGATCATTAAAGGCATCTCATCACGCATTGGTATCCTTGGGAAGCTCACTGTTCAGCAGCTCTCACACACACAAATACCATCATGCAGTGGACAGGTGCTCGCAAGTGAGGTTTCACACACAAAAGGCTGTCACTTTGGTTTTTGTTTCATGGCTTCAACATGCTTCAACACCTCCCTCGAGCTTGGTGACAGATCCGGTCTCAAAGTGCAAACACGCAACCCAAGTAACGTTATATAAATAATGTTATATACTATACCGAGACTATACCGTCTCCGCCTTCTCTTAGGCTCTAAGACAATTCTTCAAACTGTGAGGCAAGCAAATGGTCGAAAACCCAGGCCAAGAGGGCAACAAAATTCTTCAATAGGGAGACACCCCATACTGGTTATGTGTTGTGTTTTGAACCCATGGATGTCCACACCACCTGTTTCAGGGGAGCACACATGTTCTTAAAGGTCTGAATCGGTCTGAAACTTCGATCTACACTGCCAGGGCAAATCTACAGCCCTCGCCATAGGTTTTTGTGTTCAATGCCCCTAATTAGGCATTCATGGCCTGGATGTGCATTTCTTTCGACAGCCTTGGCACTCATGGCTCATTCCATTGACAGCCTTGCAGCAAACTTTTCATGTCTGACCTGATACTGTACCGTGTAAGGATGAACCCGTGCTCCCGAGATGGACGATGGTATGAGAAACGGAAGCAAGCTGAAGCCAGTAATAAGCAAGCAATCCAGGTCTCAAACAATTGGATGAACCGACGAGTGCCTAAAAATGTCTGAACATGAATGCCATCAAAAATTTCACAACACCTAGGTTGAGCCCGACGTTCCCTACCCAACATTGTGGTTGGTCCTTGTTCTTCTAGATCACTTGCAAATTTACAGAGACCTAGGGCCCCCTCAATGACAGACCGCTACATGCTTCTGGTCTTTTCCGTGGTCTTGGAGTATATCCCGATTCATCCCGATGGAAAAATACACACCATATCATCTTCATAGTTCGCCAACCTGGCAAAGAGCCTGTCGATTGCCTCTCCAATGTTCTGCAAGCTTCTCATGCCCTCGCCCAGGTGTCCACAAAAATGCCTACAATGCCGATGTGAGGCTCATGATCAAAAACCGCTGGCCATGTCTATGAGTGTGCAAGTGCTTGGAGAACCAGCCGTCCTGACTTTGAATGCCAGTACTAGCCACCGATGAAAAGGCCCAGTTTCTAGTCAAACTTATTCTCAGTGCTCTGTGTAGATGTATGATGCACAAACATGATGGAGGATTTTCGGACGGTGACACTCCAAAAGCATTCTGTGTAGATCTGAAGAGGAGATGGAGTTGATTCTGGGTGAATCTTCACAGCCTTGCCCGCGGCGAGAAACATTGAACGACACCAAAATGACTACTTAGTCTATTAGTCACGAACTGAAACACCGTCCCCAAACAGAATAACACTATGTTTCATTTGATCACATGGCCAGTGACTAAACTGTTAGTCACTCAATTCACCGTCACCGTCCCCAACGGTAGATGTGATCAAAACATGACAGGTGTCCACCAGTTCGCTTTGCCAGGATTGTTTGTCCCTTTTACTACGCATGGAAGGCGCAAACCATATGCATGGATATAATATATATATATATATATGGCCCAATGGTTTTGGGTGATTTTGGTGGTTTTCATCTAGGTCATTACGCGCGCTAGTGAGGCGCAAAGATTGCACAAACCTCACAACCCCCATGGTGCGGGTCTCAAAACCCACGCGGCTCCAACTTGGGAGCATGGGGCAGTGAGTTCGGCTCAAAGAGCCCAAGCGGTTCCAACGGTTCTATGTGCAGATTTTGGAACTGAACTTGGAAGGGATGTCATCCCCAATCTGCATCACAACACGGCAAAAAAAGACTCCTGTGTTTTTTGAGCCTGCCATGTCTTGAAAAACCGACAGAACCCAGAGCCAAACACCAACTATGATGTGTCTTGCTATGTGTCTCTGGCGTGTCTCAGAGCCAAGCACGCTCCAACGCTAACGAAAGTGGCGTCTGACAGGATAGACCGGTGGAAAACCCGCTGCGAACCGAGCTCCACGAAGCCGGGCCCGGGGTTGGACACAACCAAGGGGCTTGGGCTGCAAGCCGCTTGAGCAATTCAGGATCACATCCTCTGAAGAGCGTCTGCGCTGCGAGTGCGGAAGAAACGACCTGAGAGGTGAAACATTGGATGGTCACTTTGGGGCACGTGGGAAGTGGAAGGAACAGGGAGTGATTTCTGTGTATGTAGATCTTACAATGTCTTGGAAAGCAGACTTCAGCCGGGGGGCAAGTTTGTCTTGGAACTAGTTTGGAGGCCATCGCTAGTAATGTTGGAGGCCATCGCTTGTAGGAAGAAACAAACGCACCAAATAAAAATGCGTGGGATCAATTGGCTGGGTCATCGAGCAAAGGGCATCTTTTCTACTCAATTGTGCCTTGTTCAGCCCATGCTGGGCGAGTGTACCGCTGCACTTCCCAGTCTTAATTTGGGATCTGGTTTAGAAACCGCAAGCTTTACGTGCAACGCGCCACTCTTTCGATGGCTGGATGAGTCCTGGTAGGGTTGCCACATGTTGCCACATGGTGGGACTGGCATCTGGTCTACTTAATTGCAGTTCGCACTGAGGGTTTTAATGTTTTGATGTGATGGTTCTGGGGGTTGGCCATGTGAGATGATGTGAGGTTGCGTAGAGGTTCGTTTTTTGCTGCTCTTGAATTGAAGAAACCACCTTCAGAGTGGGACCTGTCAACGGCACGGCACAGTAGCAGGGAAAAACTGTTCCTAGAAGTTGCTGGCCTGCTTGGGGTTCTTAAACTCACAACAGGAAAAGTGCCAGTTTGTGCTGTAATTATTCTAGTTCGGTTGTTAAACCTTGGAAGCAGGCTTCCAACAGCAGAAGCAGCGACTCAGTCGCCTCTTCGTCAGCAGAGCTACGCCCCGGAGAAGTCGATTATATTTTTTTCCGGACTCGGAGAAGTCGAGCTGGTCCAGTCTTCGCAGCAGCTGACAGCCCTGATCAGCTCTGGCTGCTTTTGATGTTCCACGGCAATGCGGCAATGCTGACAAGATTGCAAACGTTGATCTGATGCATCGGAAAAGGTAGATTTGGAAGGAAGAACCGCAAAGGAAGCTGGCCGCAAACATCCGCAGACTGGGTTGATGGACGAATTTTCAACTTTAAAGAGGCCTTCTCGATGTTTTGCAAAGGGTGCTCAGGGTCTTACTGTCAGGTCGTTGGCTTCTTCTTCAACTGGTGGCCAGGAATCAATAAGCCTGTGCCTCTTGTTTCCCATGGCCGCCTACAGGAAGGGAGGTGCTGGAGGCTCTGCAGCAAACTCAAGGTCAGCATTTGCGGGCAAGTGCGGAGGAAGGGGGTATAGCCGCGGACTAGCTGTTCTGACCAGAGTGTTTTGAAGATGTTTACTGCTCCAAGACTGTTCAACCAAGGGCAGGATTTTCCATTTGTTTACCCTCTTCCATAGAGTCGAAACTGTTGAATCAGTGTGTTCGTGGCATCAGAGGCAACACCACTGCCCAGTTGCTTTCTTCATCCTCTTGGCACCGTCCTTACAAGGGTCAAGTTAGAACTAGAATATTCTATAGGGTGCTGAATGTGGTAAGTAGCCAGAGCTATTGTGGTCTTGTCCTTTGGGAAACGGATGAGACCTGGTGGTGTCAAATCCTGCGGTGTTGACACTACGCTACAACGCGCGGCGCTCTTTCTTGTGTCTCTTTAAGGTGTTTTTTTGACGATCTGCCTCCTCAATAATTCTTGCGACTGATCATATTAATTCGTGGCCCAGTTCTGAATAAAGCAGCTGCCTGCCAAACTCCAAGATGTCCGACCAAGCAACATCTTCACTCCAGTTCTCTGTCATCCACTGATGCTCACAGGCGACTCCAGAGCAGAGCAAAGATGGATCTCACTAAATGCAGGTCGCAGAATCCATCGTGGGCCCCAAAGTACCACTTCCTACCCCATCAGGAAGTCTCGGGTCCTCTATTGAGCCTAGACCTGCAGTTGACACATCACATCTCATCCCACTTCCCAAAGCAGGCTTCAAGCACAAGCTTCTCAGCTTCAGAAATTGATTCCATTTGCAGGCTACCTTTAAAGGCCACTTTAAGTGCAGCGCAGATTTTCTCCGAGTCCACATCCATTCTTCGCTCCGACTAAGCAGTGATCTCTCAAGAGACCAAGCTGCACAAGACCGACTGCGCTGGGCGCCCAGCGCAAACTGCCGCTTCTTCGTGATACTAGCTGCGTGCTAGCTGATTTGCTTTGCAAGATCAGCAAGAGCACGTAGCTCCCTGTTGCTGGGACGTTTTTTGCCTGTGCGAACCAAAAAGGTACATCTCAGTCTCACCCTAAGGTGTAACACAATACCTCACATATGATGATCTATGCACTTATGACTAAATATGACTAAATCATATATCATATACAGTAATATAATGTAATATACAGTAGATGCTTTCAAGATGCTTTCAACATGTCTCCACCATCACTAGCCTCCAAGCAGGCATGGAAGGGATGTCTCGGACCTGTGCCACGATTAAAAAATTGTTCCATCCCAAACCCGCCAGCATTCGATGCATCAGCATTGCTTTCAGGGCTTTCGTCGATCTGGAGATAAAGAAGGCAAGCGAAGTCCACCATCTGCGCGGCTGTCGCTATGCCTGGGGTCGCCGGCCCTGGAAAAAGCCGTGTTTGCAAGAAAAATTACTTTACTTCGAGTGATCCCCACCATGACATTTCAATCATTTGACTTGATGCCATAGTGAGGAGCATGTCGCCATGGTCGTGAGTATTGTAGTTCTCGATTTTGCTTGTGGGTCCTCGGGTTGTGTGCTGCGGTTGTGGTTGTGTGCTGTGTTGTGGTTGTGGTTGTGTTTGTGATTGTGTGTTTGTGGCTGTGTGTTTGTGATTGTGTGTTTGTGGATGTGTTTGCGGTTGTGCTTGTGGCTGTACGTTTGTGGTTGTGTCTTTGTGGTCGTGTTGTTGTGGTTGTGTGTTTGTGGCTGTGTTTGTGGTTGTGTGTTTGTGGTTGTGTCTTTGTGGTTGTGTTTGTGGTTGTGTGTTTATTGTTGTGTCTTTGTGGTTGTGTGTTTGTTGTTATGTTTGTGGTTGTGTGTGTGTGTGGTTGTGTTTGTGGTTGTGTGCTGTGGTTGTGTTTGTGATTGTGTTTGTGGTTGTGTGTTTGTGGTTGTGGTTGTGATTGCGCTTGTGATTGTGTATTTGCGATTGTGTGTTTCTGGTTGTGTTTGTGGTTGTGGTTGTGTCTTTGTGGTTGTGTTGTTGTGGTTGTGTGTTTGTGGTTGTGTGTTTGTGGTTATGTTTGTGGTTGTGTGTCTATTGTTGTGTGATTGTGGGTGTGCGTTTGTTGTTATGTTTATGGTTGTGTTTGTGGTTGTGTCTTTGTGGTTTTGTTGTTGTGGTTGCGTGTTTGTGGTTGAGTGTTTGTGGTTGTGTGTCTGTGGTTGTGTGTGGATTGTTGTGT